GACAGTAAGATACAGTGATTTGGCTTTATCAACCTAATTCTAACCGTTTTCTCCTTTTCAATTTCTTCTAAATCAATACGGAGCAATTAAAGCAATAAATTCCAGTGCTTTGAAGAGCAGTACATTTCAGTGCCATGATTCTGCATATGCGGAGCAAGAGTACTTTAAAAAGAAAAACCAAAATTGCTAACATTTGTAAAGGAGCCTTTAATCTTATTTAATTGAAGTAAAATTTGTATTCTGCTTGCTCAGAGAAGATTTCAGTAGCAAGATGGCTTGGCAGGTCATGCCTGTGTCGGTGTTTTTAAAAAAACAGAGTAATAGACTTCAGTGTTAGCATATCTAATTATCTAGGAATGACATGGAAGTAGCAGCCAATTTGCCTAAGCAGTGCGTGTATGGGGAATGTGGGAAAGACACCTGCTTGTGTGCTTTTGCGGAGCTCAAAACCAGGCTGGGACACATAGTTTCAGAAGATTCATCCCATGCCTTTTTCATATTGACACTCAGTAAGGTCCCAAGCCAAACTATTACAGTCAAAAGGTTTATTATTGTTGGGATTTTGGTGAGGAAGAACACAAAAATAGCAACATGTGTGGATTATGCCTTTTCAGATGTTTGTTTTTATGTAACTGGTAAAACTGCTGGGTTTATGTAGGATATGTTCTAGTAAAAATTATGGTCTTAAAGCTAGGCAATCTTATTTTTGGTAAAAGTAAGAAACATGTAAAGTGTTGTTCAGAGTTCAAACTAAACTCATATCAGAGCACAGAGATCTATGTAACTGAATTCATTTTCATTTTATCCAAATTTGTCTCTTACTGATTTTAGCTGAGATTCATAGCAAAATTAGAAGTTTTGAAATACTATAACAGTATAATATAGGTAATTTACAGCAGTTATAGACTATTGAAAGTGGAGGAACTGTTCTCATGAGATATCCAGTGCAGATTGTAGAATCATAGAATCAAAAAATGGTTTGGGTTGGAAGGGACCTGAAAGATCATGTAGTTCCAACCCCCCTGCCATGGGCAGGGACACCTTCCACTAGACCAGGTTTCTCCAAGCCCCATCCAACCTGGCCTTGAACACCTCCAGGCATAGGGCATCCACAGCTTCTCTGGGCAACCTGTGCCAATGTCTCACCACTCTCACAGTAAAGAATTTATTCCTAATAGCTAATCTAAATCTACCCTCTTTCAATTTAAAACCAGTACCCCTCATCCTATCACTACACTTCCTGACAGAGTCCCTCCCGTGTTTTATTTCAACCTGTTGCTAATGGCAGGGTTCACAGCCATTTGTGTCCTTATCCAAACCAGACCCGTAATAATTTGCTGATCACTACCATAGGGTGATGTCACTGATCACCAGTTCTGGCTACAGAACAATAACAAGTATTGGCAAAAATAAGTATGAAAAAGAACTAATTTTCTATTACACTATATTTGCAGTTTTTACTGCAAAATTCAACAAGGCAAAAGCAGTGTATGAGTAACAATGGGATCACACTCAACTTCTGAAGCTGGTCCAGAGCAGTACCAGCATTGCAGGGGTCTATCATGGAATTGCATGTTGCTGAATAGGCTCAACTACTTCCAACCATCATCAACCCAGACTGGAAGGCAAGAGGTGCAGGCGCCAGCTCTACTCATAGTTACGTGGCAGAGCTGTGGGTTTTTTTTCCTGGAAGGAGAGTTTTTTCAAATTATTTCATTTGTATCCAAAGCAAAATGATGTCACAGCAGACTGTCTACTGGAAAATGAAGTCAGAGTACTGCTGGGATGAGTTATCTCTAACAGGATAGTTTAAGCTGATTCTGACCCTTTACTCCTTCTCCTTTCTTCCTTTACTCATTTTTCTCCTAACAACACGTCATTTTTTGTAATTACATTAGGCCCTCAGAAATGACTCATCATATTATGGGCAGCAGCAGAATTAACTATCATGAACAGAGGAAATTTTTTAACCCAAAATATATTGTTATATCTGAGTTATAAACCTTTGAAATGAAACTGTTTTTTTAAAAAGCTTGTAGTCTAGTAGCAGCAGTGGTATCTGCCTCTATAACAAGAACCAGAGCTACAAATAAAAATACTTGTTATTTTAAGTGATGTCAAACTTCTATAGCACCAATTTGAAAAACAAGCAAAACATTATTAGGCATTGTCTTAAAGTTTGTCAGTTGAAAAGCTGAAACACCATGAGTGCAAAGGTTCCTGATCTGGAAAAAAGAAGTGTGTCAAATGAAAACCAAACATATCATGTGCAGTGACAATATCTGAAAGAGTTTGAATGATTACGTGTGTACATATATCCGTGTATGAGTATATACTGTCTTTGCATAGATACTCACACATACAGAAGATACTATAGTTCTTCAAATTTCCTTCCTTTTTCATATATAAAACTAATTGCAAATTATTTCTTTTTGTTCTTCTCACAGCTGAATTTTTATTCCTCTTGTGGGGTGTTTATCTCTGCTATGCAGTGCGGACAGTCCCATCAGCATTTCATGAGCCACGTTATATGGCTGTTGCAGTTCACAATGAGCTCATTATCTCTGCTATATTCCATACAATTAGGCAAGTGATCTGTAGATCTAGTAATTAACTATTTATCTTTCAGGTTTCATACGGTGCAACTTAAAATGGGTGAATGGGAGAGGATGCATAATGGAAGGTCTCATAAATATTTAATTCTGCAAATTAAGTGATTACTAAGCTTAAAACTGTTCCCATAGGATTCAATAATATGTACAACTTGTTAATTGTATAATTAGGAATATTTTTTTTCAGTTTAGCTAGCTGATATGGTTTTGGGTCAAAGTTCAGTATATATGATAAATTAGATATAGCAAAACTACTGTCTGTCTTCAGTCATCTGCATACTGCTCACTGGTTTGTATCCCTAGAAAAACAGCAGGTAAGAATGTTGGTTTATATGAACTTTTCCTGGTGTGTAACAGATTGGCAAGGTGCAGCTGTATGTTAAGATAATTTTACTGTTTTGTGCATGAAACATAGTGTTTTATATGCTGACATAAAAAATTGTTATGCATATGATGCTGTAACAGTAATATAAAGCACGTGTTTTCTTATAAAGTTTATAATGAGCTTTACAATTCATACTTGTAAATTATTAGAGTAGTAAGAAAGAAATAAGGGTCTTTGCCAGAGCTACATGAAAATTACTATATATGGCTTTACTACAGAGTACACTGTAAAAATGAAGTGGTCCTAGAAAATTCAAAATAGCAAGATAGTGTGAATTTCATCTCATGCTGTAAGAGATTCTTATGACTTTCTTATGACATTCTTAGAACTTCCTTTGCCTCCTGGCAGACCTTATCTACTAAGATTATTTTTTTTTTTCACATTGCTTCATTGACAGTCTTCAAATACTCTTCTCTGTTCCTTAGTCTGTCTTGGAACTCACATTTCTCTCTGCCTTTTGTTTGCTTCCATGAGGCATCGTTTTTTTCTGAGTAAACATCACCAAAGCAAATCTTTCATCTCTACTCCTTCCAGGTGCTCTTTTCCCCTAACATTGTTCTGAAGTTTGGTGCACTTTTCAGGCTTGCAACCTGTTGTTTCCTTAACTTTCTCCTAACCCCATATATCAGCATCCACACAGTCTCAAAATCTTCTTTACTCCCTAACGCAAACATCTGTAAAAATAATGTTTAAAATCTGTATTTGATGGAAGCATTTTTCTTTTCATTCTTGATGGATATAAAATTCAATTGCAATACTTTCGAATTTGTTATAACTAATATGACAGCTTCTCAGTCAAAATTTTCCGCCGTTGATTAATGTTCCTAAACCATATTTTGGGCCATGTTAGAAGATACAGGTCAGTGCCTCAGGAGAGCTATTATGTTGACTGCAAGTTTCTTTTAACAATAGGACAGAATGAAAATAATCTTTGATTAAAGAGAAGGGAAAAGGGGAAAATGTGGCATTTTAATACATGCCTTATGAAGGAGACACAAAAGGGTTAGGTCTTTCAGTTTATCCTAGTGAGGATCCTGTTTCTTCAGCCTAAGGTCTGCTGATTTTGTTCTTCCTTCTTTTTTTAAAAAAAATGTACATTTTATATTGATTCTTTGCCCTCTGTCTGATACATGCTGGTTTGTTGAAGAACTATCATGTACTGTTTATGAATAGGAATGAGTAAAATGCACTGGAAGTACATGATCCCTTCTGAGATTATGCCCATTTCTATATACACAGGTCTTAATCCTGTCTCTTTGAAGTTCACATTTCTTTTCTCTTTTTTTTTTTTTTCATTTCTGTCTTCCCTGCCAAGTTCTGAATGTAGCTGAAAAATCGTAAATGTAAGACTCAGATTTATATGACATATCTGAGTTGTCATGAAGTTGAAAGCACTGGAGCCTTGAAGGAAACCTACTATTACAAGGCAGCCATCCAGTCTGAAAACTCCCGAAGCTCATACAAGATTGATGTGAGCGCTAAATAAAATCATGAACTGTTTGCATTTTGTTTTCCTTTAAAACTATTATTCCCATTTCAGAAACACAGGATTCTTGATTATCTTCAGATCAGCATAGCATTAAATTCCTGCATTGCTCTTTCTCTTCTATTACTGAGAAAAACAAAATTTATATGGAAAAAATCTCATTTGAGTAGAAACCCCATCTCTGATAGTTTTGAATGGCTACTACAGTTCTATTTTGTTTTCAGGGGTATGGTGTGGATACCTTAATTAGTCAAGGTTTCACACATAAAACAAGCAAAAAGCCTCCGCAGAATTTGGGGATTGGAGCTGTTAAAGGTTAGCCGAAACTGGTGGGCATCGGGACCTGGGAGCTTTCTCCCATCTCTGTCGGATGTTGCTGCTGCCGCTTCTGTTTGCTGGCGTAGCCAGGCCGAGCACATCCACTACGGGCCACATGTACAGCACAGGTCCAACATGTACAGCCCGGTCCTGTTCCTCCTCTGCATCTCATCAGGTTCACCAATGAAACATGCACCCTGTGTAGGTTCACAAGCACACTACATTGTCCAGTCCTTCAAATATCAGCACAGTCCTTAAGCCAGTCTAATCTTAGCGTTTGGGGCCCCGTACTCAGTCATGGGCTGAGACCTTGGGTCTTCTCAGATGCGGGCCTCCCACGCGCTGGCTACTCCAGCCTGAAGTTTGCTCATGACTTGCACATGCACACATGCACAGCGTAGAGAATGAGATCACACGGAAGCTGGGAGATGGATTTAATGAGAAGACAGGAGATACTGCAGTGATCAGACACAGGGCTCAGTCGGTGATAACTTGCTTACATACCACTAGCCCCTTTTATCTCCCCTTCTTTACAAGCTTGTTCTTTCCCCACCTACCTTAGCCCCTATCTGTCTCTGTCCTTGTCTTTTCCCAAATAAACAACTCACCCCTCATTACTTGTTTCCTGTTGGTCCCAGTTTTGCTCCGTCTATACTCAAATTTGGTATTTCTGCTATCGTTAGCTAGGTACTCACAGCCTTATATGCTGTTACGGATATGGTTACATGGGTACCGCTGACCTTGGAAGTTCTACTCCCCCAAAGGCCCCTCAGTGCTCCCTTCAATTACCTGTGAATTATCTTGCCCAACTTTCAAATGAACTCCCTGTTAACCACATGTGATATCTTGCCATCCCTCACAGCACTGTCTGTAACTTTTGTTCACTTTTTGCTCTTTTTTGTTATATCCAGCAGTTTCTCATGTCATCTTCAATAGTTCTCACGTTGTGTTCAGTTAGCTAAACCTCAACATGAGCCTCTTTGTATCCCTGCATATCTCAACAGCAACATCTCTGTAAGAAATAATTCTAATATTTTATTGTGTTCATGAAACATTTCATTTACAAAGTATTAATCAAGAAACGATGACTGTATTATTATGGCATATAAGCCAGTGTTTCATGCCAGGCTATTTCCGTTAACAAAAGCTTCTGCAAAATGTGCATCTGTGGACTTGGATAAGTTGCAAATGTCATTTCTATCTGAATGATTTTTGTAAACCTGCGAATTACAAGCCAGTGTTACATCCATTCATCCATTGCGCTGCTTGCCATTTCTGTCTTTGGGAGCTCACGAAAGCAGACAAGCCAAGCATGCTCCAGCTAGCTTTAACTGCAGCGCTTGTTCTACCACTCTTTTAGAAAGCTCAGCAAGGAATTGCTTCATATGGGGGGCTCAGCCACTCATTCCCTAGCTTTCACAGGGCTCTTGGGCCCTGCCATCCTGCAATCAAGACCATTTCTCTGCTCCCCGCTAAAATGCATTTCAGCTCAGTTCCCTCTTTGATGGCTTATCAGCCGCACTCTGTAGCTGCGATCTATGAACATCCTGTATTTTTGAAGTGCACTGCAATTTATCATGGTACATGTGCTTACTTAACCTAAAATCATCCGTTCAAATCCTTAATGTGTGTAAACTGCCATAACTCAGTTCAGGTCAAAGACACTGTGACAATATAAAGATCAAAAAAACCCCAGCTAAATAGAGTGAGAATGGTGGAATAAGCAGTATCCTTTAAGGTCTGTTGTTTCTTTTTGTATTTTGTTTTGGCTTGTTTTGTTGTTTTTCCGGAATTGTTTTGAAAGCGTGGTATGTAAGTAAAGCATGTGGATGTAATTTTTAGTCTGTATGAAAGCAGTACAAAACAAACCGAGTTGTGTTTGACCTTTCAATGAAAAGAATCCTAAGGAATATTAAAAATGTTAAATCTAATGTACTGGAGAAAAGGCAGTGAATTGCAACCCTGAATTCTGTTTTCAGATTCATTCTTGCTTCAAGACTTCAGTCTGACTGGATGCTGATGCTGTTCTTTGCACACACACACTTGACTGTGACAGTCACTGTTGGGCTGCTTCTGATCCCTAAGGTATTCGAGTCTCCTGTCTCTTTTCTTTTGCCAAGACTGAGGAAGATAAATGTTGTGATGCAGAAGCAACGCTTTATAAAATTAGCAAGGAACTGATAGAAAAGGAAGACGTAAACTTTGACTCTGTTACTTAAAAAGCTGTATATTTTTTTATTTTAAAGACTCTTACACATTTTCAAAGATTCTCTCAGCTTTCAAAATTCATGGGTTTTAAAGTACTTAAAATTTTGCTGTGGTTAATACAAGAAGGAAAGAATCCTGCCTACCAATGCTTATTTCAGGTATTTGGGGGACCACGCTGCTGCCAGAGTTAACTGAGATCAGACAAAGAGTTTAGGCGAGGGGATAGAAAGACGAGGATGGACTGTTAAATAAAACTGGAACGGGGAGCTTTGACGAGCCATGAGATAGAGAGGTTGGGATTTAAACCGAACAGTGGTTACAGGCTGAAAAAGGAGAGGCCTTTGCGAGTCAGAGCCTGGGACGGACAGATGCTGTATAGAGAGACAGACATGGCTTATGATATGGAGCCAGGTGCAGTGCTGGGTGAGAAGATGAGTGTGTATGGGACAGGAGAAGATGGAGGATAACAGGAGGCAGGGAAGAGAAACTCTGAGCACTGCGGCACACCTCCCGTCAGGTGCTGGGAGCGAATCAACAATATATCAGTCTCACCAGGGGCAGGAGAACCGCAGGCAGCTCCACCTGTCTCTAGCACCAGTCCCCAGGATTTGAATGGAGCTTTCTTCTTAGACAGTGCCCTAGCAAAGCGAATGATTTTATAATGGCTTTTGAAATGACCAATAATATTAATCAAGTAGTCACGAGTCAAAGAGAACAGTAAAGGTGAAAGCTACATACGAAGGAAGGACACTAAGCGGTTCCAGTTGATGCAACTCAGGTTAATGAAACTGCTATTCCTGTCTTTTGCCCGCGTGTCAGATCCCGGTATGCTGATAACTGTCAAATACACAGTCATAAACAGTTACACAGTCATAACAAGGGGACGCATTGATGCAGCCTTAATACTGAATAATCTTGTTTTGTTTTAAATTACTTTTCTGGTCTTTAGCAATAATCTTACTATTTTATATCTTATATTCATACACTTTATTGTATATCTTCGAAGTTGTCTTTCTATACTAACCTAGAAAAATTGTTGACCATTCTGAAGCTGTCTCATAACTACTGATCAACATTTCCATTTTTAGCTTATTGTCTATGTAACACGACACAGACTTTTCTTCCAGCACGACAAAGAATTTAGGCAATCAAGAGAAGATTCACAAGGTTTAGTTCCATTCATAAAGTTCTGAGGCCAGATGACTGAGTGGACAATAGTAACTACAGATGAATGAATCAGTATGAATAAATAAATAGCTGACAACCTCTCTCCAACTCTTGATCTGAGCATTTGCTAAAACTTAGGAGAGAGAGATTAACTTTTCTCCTTTTTTATTTGTTTCCTTTTTTTTGTTTCCTTTTTTTTTTTTTTGCCACCTCATCTCTTCCTTTTCAGGGTTATGATCTAAAATGGGAGAATTGCTTTCTGCAGGATTATTCAACAGTATGGAATATAAAATACAGTCTTTTGGTTTTAGCAGTCTAATTGGAAACACTGGCTGAAATTCTATTTCCATACTAGCTTAATTTAAATGCAATGTGAATAGGTTCAAATAAGCATCAGAATAAGTGGGGTTTATTTTCCTTATGCAAAACTCTAAGATTTATCAAGTTAAGCCATCATTAATAAGAGTTTCTGCCATGTGGTACTGATACTCTATAGGACACTACTTATGCCAGCAGTGCCTATAGCTAGTATTTTAAGCTCAGAAAATCACCTGAAGTCCATAGAAGGATTGTTGTGTCGTAAAGACTATTGATGTAAACTCTTACAGCGATGTGAAGTAAACTTTTGCACTGATGGCAACATCTTTTTTATGAATACTTATTGCAGTTTTCACATTCAAGCAATAACCCAAGAGATGATATAGCTACAGAAGCTTATGAAGACGAGCTTGATATGGGTCGATCTGGGTCCTATCTGAACAGCAGTATCAATTCAGCATGGAGTGAACATAGTTTGGATCCTGAAGATATTCGGGTATATAACTCACTTAAATAGCATTTATTTTCAAGAACAACACATTTTCCTACAAGTAAACTGTGAATTGCATCCATTTAACTTTTTGGCAGATGTTAGCTGAAACAGGCCAGCATAGGTCTCTCGAATTTTGTGGTATCAGGTCACATAAAATTTCATGGAAAATATTCACTAGTGTGAAGAGAAGCTGCGTTATTAGTTGTAGTAAAAGTCATACTGAAAGATAAAGAGGAAGAATCATCCACAGCAAGAGTTGTTTATCAGGTTACATAGGCTCTTCGAGTTATCTTGAATTGCAAACAGGATTTGGTGTCAGTGTGATTAGTCATTTGTATGTAACATATACATAACTATCCATAACTATATAACATAAAATTTTAAAAACACGTGATTAACAGAAAAAAATACTTTATTCCTTACATGATAAAAAGGCTTATGTTCCCAGAATAAAGGATAGCTAGAGAGTTCAGTAGGAAAGCGCACACCACAGCATTGTGAAATCTGAAACATACAGCATGAATGTCCATGAATTGTGCATGCTGTATAATGCACAGCTGTGGAAGGTAACATGTTTGTGCACAAGGGTTGAACTTGTTTTTAAAGTGGAAAAAAGTGGGATTCAAGTTGATGGAGGAACAGCATATTCAAGAATTAGAAAAGACAGTGAAATAAATTTAAGGCCATTTTTAGAGCAATGGGTAGTGCAATAATCAGTCTGCTTGTTTGACTGTACATACTAGTTTTGCCCTTCACTTTGCTTTGCAGGATGAGTTGAAGAAATTATATGCCCAGCTTGAAATCTATAAAAGGAAAAAGATGATTGCTAATAACCCACATCTTCAGAAAAAAAGGTGCTCTAAAAAGGGCTTGGGGCGCTCGATAATGCGACGTATTACAGAAATCCCCGAGACGGTCACCAGGCAGTGCTCCAGGGACGAGAAGGACCTGATGGAGCACAGTGCCGTGAAGAACACGGCCACGCTGAGAAAAAACCCACAGGATTCCACGAGTTCTGCAAAGCCAAAAGAAGAGACTTTGAAAAACAGAGTCTTTTCATTAAAAAAGTCCCACAGCACTTATGATCATGTTAGGGATCAAACAGAAGAACCAAATAGCTTAACTACAGAAAGCGCAGAAGTTATAGCTGCTGAGAATTCACTTCTGGATTCCTTGAATGGTAACAAATTAACCAAAAATGCTCCAGAAAAAGTTGAAGCTGTCTCCACTGAATCGGTCCCTTTGGTGTGCAAATCAGTAAGTGCACATAACTTAAGTGCCGACAAGAAGCCTCTGCATCCAAGAACATCTGTGTTACAAAAATCCCTCAGTGTTATTGCTAGTGCCAAGGAAAAGACTTTGGGACTAACGGGTAAAACACAAAGTCTAGAAGAAAGCGCTAAATCTCATAAATCTCAGCAGAAGGGTAAGGAGGCCAGCAAAAAGCACTCAGCCTCCGATAAAGGGGAGCATAAGGATTCCCACCGGAAGAACTCTACCCAGTCTGAGGACACAAAGAAAACCCATAAATCTGGAATTATGAAACAGCAAAGGGTTAGTCAAACACCTGCAAATCCTGACACAGGCCCAGGTAAGTCACTGCACAAGGACAATTTCGACATAGGAGAAGTTTGTCCTTGGGAGATATATGACCAAACTCCTGGTCCTGTGCCTTCTGACTCTAAAGTTCAAAAACATGTATCTATTGCTTCCTCAGAGCCAGAGAAAAACCACCCTTCCCAATCAAAGGGGAAGTCTCATCATAAGCTGAAGACACCTGAAGGCTATCAACAGTCAATTCAAAAGAGCTCAGAGAAGGTGGAGGCAGTCACTCGGGAGGCACAAGAGCAGCAGGTCTTTGAAAATGAGAAAAAACAGTCAAATTCCAAGACTCAGGTCTCCCCTGGGCTGAAGTGTGAGAATGTTAATAGATATGCACCTAATGCTTGTGCTGGGGAGCGGGAGGAGCTACCCCAGAAAGCAGCAGAAAAGGAAAACCTCAATAAATTGGCGGAACAGAAAAAAAATGTCTCTTCTGAGGGAAACATGCTTTCATCTGACTCCCATAAGCCAAGTAGTTACTTACAGCAACCTTTAGCATCTCGAGCTGAAGTCTGCCCTTGGGAGTATGATACACCAGATTTACCAAATGCAGAAAGAAGTGTAGCTTTATCGAACACCTCTGCTATAAGTGCAAATAAAACAGCAACACCTCGAAAATAAGAGGCTTTTGGACTGAGGAGAGTAGCAACATTGAGAAGAAAGACAACGTTAAAGACAGAGGGGACTTAGGCCAAAAGGATCTGAAATTCCTAAGGAGCATCACTTAAATCAAGGGAATCAGCACTACAAATAAGTAGGAGTTAAGCAAAGTAAATTATCATTAATGTTGTTATTATTTATTTGTTGAGTGCCAACAGTGTGGTTAGCAGTGCCCAGAATATGGTCCCTGCTCCAAGGATTTTACTGTGTCAATGAAAGCAACCTGCCTTTGTGAAATCATGTCTCTTTCAAAAGAAAAAAAAATACGATGGTAACAAATGCACAGTGTAGATCTTAACCGAGTTATTTCTGAATGCCGCAACTGGCTTTAACTTGCCCTTGGGACTTTAAAGATCCAGCAGAAGTAGGGCACAGGAAATGTCCTGATGGCAAAAAGGGGTATCAATGAGCAGCTTAGTAAAATGACGACTTTTCACTTTACATATTTAATCTAGATAGCACTGCTAACTCAATGCATCCCAAAAATACATTTTATATGATTGCTCTCATTTTCTTATTACCGTGTGTTTAAGTACATTGTTGTGTCTCATATTAAAGCATTCCAGATTGTATAATTTTTGCAAATAACTTTGATATTATGTGACACAACAACACATTTATGCAATCTGCAGATACTTTCTTCTAATCGCAAGTTAAAATACCTGCTATAGACTTTTTTGTTTATATATAAAATTGCAGTAATCTCACTGGCTATGGAAGCCGTAATTCGTATTGGGAAATTCCTTTGGGCTTTGGAGATTATTTTTTTTTCTTTCCTGTGATTTATATAGTGATTTTTTTTGTTTACTCTCTGTTATTTAAATTTATAGTTTGATACTGTATTATTCAGGGGTTTTATATGCGGTAAGTTACTTGTTATGCACTTCCCTGTTAATGCTCATAGACTTTGTTAATAGTGGAAATTCAGTCGTCTTAGCTGCATATTCTGGTAAGTCTTAGGACAACTTATCTGTTGTTTGTTACTAATTGGAAAATATCATCTAACAAATCAGAATTCTTACTTTAAACATGGTGATGACCTTGTTCAGTATTTCATACTGAGCATATCCTGCTAAATAAGACAAGCAGGAACGACAATGAATATACCCCAGAAATGATCACCTGTTTTACTAAAAGCATACAACCCCAGGAAATGTTTTAGCCAGCTCATATAGAAAAACAGTATACTGTTTATTCCCGTTGGCAAACCTCCAAAAATTGGCCTTTAAGTGAGGAGAGAAGTCCAAAATATTACTCTTCCCCTATATATGCAATTGTAAGAGATAGTAAGAATGGAAATTATGGCATCTCTCTCCCACTCTCCAAAATGCTTTGGTTTTGTTTTTTTGTTTTTTTTTTTAATTTATCTATGCATACATTTACAGTAAAAGTTAATGTTTAATACAGTGCTAATTTTCAGTAATAGCTACAGTCCTCATTATGCATATGGGCTTAATTCATAGATGGCCCATTCACAACTATGATCCTTAGTAGTGGTACACCATCAAGGTCTGAGGACATATTGTAAAGATTCTGAAGAGTATCACTAATAGTAAAAACCCCTCACTCATCTAAATGTGGTACCAGTAAAGTGCTATTCACTAGAATTGGCTATATATACAGTACTCCAAAAGAACTAAAGTCCTAAAGAACTTGTGCAATTTGAGAGAAGTGATGGGATTCAGTGGAAGAACATGAAATGAGGATGATTGAATAGAATGTGTTGTTTAATATATATATAATATATATATAAAATACATATATAATGTACATATATATACATATGGGACATATTACAGATCAAGACTGGAGAGAGCGGAGATGAGGTTGAATTTGGTTGGGGATTTGAGATAGATGAAACTAGGAATGGTTAAGAAATGTATACCTATTCTTATGAGGGTCGTTAAGTTGTTAACCTGATGACAACCTTTGAAGATGTCGATATATGCTATTTGAAGATGTTAATCTCATCTGAGGATTTTTTTTTTTTATTTTGGTTTTCTTACTTGAAAAGGGAAGATATCACATGCACCAATACATTAAAACAATGATAAGGCTGCAAAATGAAGCATTTGAGTTAGAAATGCAAGAAGTTATGTTACCTATAAAATTTTAATTCTGTATTGTTTTGTATATGCATTAAGACATTGCTTCTAACCACACATTTCTGTATTTTTCTTTCTCATGGCATCCTTGTTTTAATTACTGTAGAGAATGAATAACATAACAGGGTGAGGAAAATGGCTGCATATCAGACTCATTATTGCAACTGTTGGAATGTAGACAGTAAACAAGGCAGGAAAAGGATGTTTTTGTAGTTGTAGAACCAAATGCTGCCTTGGAGAACGGGAATTGATCTCTATTTCTGCCATAACATCCCAGTTATGCTGAGTAAATCATATATCGCAAAATTCCTTTAATAAGATCTCCTAGGCTACTTTTTTACTAGCAGGACAGTCTCCGAGTGCAAATGGTACATCATGGCTTGTATCTATGTGACTAGACACACATCTCAAAAGAGGGTGGTCTTGTCTATACTGCTGTCTAAGGACAGTCCCTGGCCTTTGTCACCGCTGAGCCATGACCTAGCAACGTTCAGTCATGAGTTAATTGTCATGGCCCAAATAGAGCCCATGGCACAACAACGTTAAAAAGATATGGATAGTTATGGCACAGTGTTTGAGCTGATATGCAAGACTTCTTTAGTTTGCCAGTGAGGATGTATCTTTACTGTGTGTTCCTCTTTTCTTGGTGCTCGGTGTGTGACCTGATATTTCACTGGCAGAAAGGCTGGTGCCTGTACCTGCATCTGAAGCGAACATAAACATAGCATGCCCTGCATTGTGATAAATACTTTGAGAAAACAAGCAAACAGACTGATCAGGCTCATGGCATCTCAGATTAGGCATCCAAGATTAATAAATAGTTTTTAATATCTTTCTATGCCTCATCATCCCCTTGGTGAAATGAAGACACCATAAGCACTGTGAAAATGTCATTACTGTGAACTTCTCAAATGCTCTGCTGGGAAGGGCCTTAGGAAAACAGATGAGGAAATAATAATAAATTAATATTCATAGCAGGGTTTGAATATTGTGTGGGAAGGAAGGCCTGAGGCGAAGCACAGAGCTGTGAGGATCTATTGAACAGCTGCTCAGTAACTAGCTAGCTGACAGACTTCTCAATGCTGAAGAGCATTCCTGTGCAATGAATGAGACAGGATAGACAGATATAAAGAAGTTGAAGATAGATATATGGGGGGATGGATGGATGGTTGGTTGGATTGATAGAGACTCATCCATTCTACAGCTTGAATTCACCTTGCATGAGAGAGATCTTGGGGAAAAAAAAATAAAAACAGATGTAATGGGTAGCCAAAATGCTGTAGTGGGTCTGCAGTCTCACAAGAGCAGGATGTGGTAAGTCTGCAGATCAATCACCTTGAGTTCAGAAATGGGCCTGCCTGTTGGAGGGGTCATTATTTCTGACTTCTTAATAGAAACTTCTGGCCTGAATGAAAGTAGCACTAGAGACCCTTCTTTGGCATTTCTACACATGGGGGTGTTCGCATTTGAAACTATAATAGCCTTGGATATATACAGCCATATACAATTCAGGTTCATCTACTCTATCTATTGTCAAAGGGCTTTTAGAGGAGGAGGCAGTAGACAGTACACTGTGCAGGCACACGAGAGCCCGGCCAGCTTCTTTTCCTAGGTCCCAATGCTGATGGATTGATTTGAAGCCCAGAACATTAAGTTTTTAATCTGCTTTGTTTTTCTTCTTTCTTTCTTCTGGCGTTAACTCTTGACATCGGTTCATTTCTGTTAGTCACATAAATGGCCATTCCCCCTTTGAAGGTCATTAAAATGAGTAGCCACAAAGACCCTGCAGTAATGAGCTCCTCCATCTAATTAGACTATGAGCAAAAACATTTTAAATGATTGTGCAAGTGTGCATGTGAGTAGGTACGTACAAACATATCCATAACTTTTAAACGTATTCAGGATGGACTATGTCTATCGCTTGTGTGGAGATGGATAGAATAGTGATAGACACATGGGCAGACAGATAAATAGAAGATAGATTCTGCTAACATATTCCTGTATAATAAATTGTTAAGCTACAAAAGAAAGCAGAAGTCCCTGTGTACAATGTATAGATTTTCTTTAATGTGAGTTATTGAGAAAAGACAGAGCTGTCCCTTTAACTGGAGAGCTGCAAACAGCTGTTCCTTATGTATACATGCTTGCTTGGTCTGAAAGTTTTGGTAAGTCAGTGCATAACTGACAGATTTATCTCCCCAATAAGCAATCAACATTGTAATAAAGGAAAAATGCTTTCAGTGCACCTTTGAGAGTGCATCAGAAATTAAACTAAACATCAATTATAGTTTGTAAATGAATAGTGGCTCAGAGCCCTAATACTTCTCCTGCTCCTCCTCCTCCCTCTAAAGCCTCCCCCAACCAACTGCAATGGCTGGAGGTGCTGTGTAGTGAGTTTGATGAACAGCTCCTTCTCATTCGTACTCACACAACTCTTTCCTTATCAGCTGGAGAAGAGTCCCATCCTTACTCTGTGGACCTGAAGTCTCAGAGCCTGGCTGCTTTGGAGTATAACAGAGAGTAGATAGCAAATAATAAACTTTTGTTTATTAAATAATAAACATCCACTTTCCTCTGGGAGCCCTAAGCACCCCTCTAATGGTGTCTTCCTCTCCTTGGCTTACTTTGCCTGTCTGTCTGTATCAGGTCCTTCAGAGTGGAGAGGACCACAACAAACTAGTGCTGATCTAAACTGAAACATCCCAGGGGTCAGGCATGCTTAACACACCTGGAAAATTGTTCCCATATTGTCTCAACTCTGGCACTCAAATTAGTGGCCTCTTCCATTACACTCTGAGCTTTTGTCTGTAGCCCATAGTTACATGGGAATGACAATCTCATATTGTCCAGGGACAT